AATCTCAAGATTCCTTTCATTACAGACGAAATAAAGAAAAGGGCTCCATAAAATTCGTCTTTCCCAACACGCCAACGAAGAGATGCCACGTGATGACGATCGAAATTGATTTAAGGTCACTAGTTTTAGTAACCTTAAAGTGGCACAGTATTTCAACCCGAACCCCAGTCAGCGGCCACTGAATTCTCTGTCGATGATTTCCTCCCATCGAAAAAAAAAATGTTTTATAAATACTTTGAAATTTGACGTTTACCACATATTTATAAAGTTACTAAAAGTTTTTTCAAGTTTTCCGTCTGGTTTATTTTTTTAAAATGAGAATTTTTTTTCTTTTTGCGAGAAATTTGGCCATTGTTTCTCTTTTTAAAGTTTTTTCAAGTTTTACTTATTCGTACATACATATTTATTTTTAATAACTTAAAAACTAACTGAAATTATTTGAAACAATTTTATAAGTAACGTTTATTTATACAAGACAATGTATCAACCTATATTACTTTGAAATGTATCAAACTATATTACTTTTACTAACATTTTTGTTAGCCGACACTACTCAACCTACTTTATTGGGAAATACAAAATGTGCATGAAAAATCGTATATCCTTCCTCATTAACATTTGAAACCATACTGAAATATGAATTTCAATTTTTTTTTCATTTTTTCTTTCCTCCAACCTTTCTTTCAAGAAAGGTATTCTTTCTTTTTCGTGAAATAGAATTTAAATGGGAAGCTTTTTGATAAATGTGTGCATTATCCTGAGATTTTTTAAAATATTAAAATCTTTTTTACGTAAAAAAAAAAAATAATAATGGCAGGATCAGTCGCATTTGAAGAAAAAAACAGGAACGAAGCCAAAAATTCGTAATATTTCGTAAAAAAAATTGAGTATTGGGACTTTTTAGATGTAAAGACATTATCCAGACAGACCTGTTATTTACTATGCGTAGTTAAAACTAAAGTATATCTATTAATAAGTAATTCGACTCGTTCCATTCCGTTAGTTTTCGTTTGCATCTTGCTTCCAAATTCTTAAAATATTCCATTTTTTATTAGAAATATAATATGTTAATAAGAGTTGTGTAGGCAAGAAAGAAACAAAATACTGTAAACAAACGACTGTATCAAAAACATATCTGAAAATCATCAAATGAACTGAAATAAAATTAAATCAAATTAGGCAAAAATTTTGTTATTTTTATTTTGATGATAACAAAATTTATTTTTTATTTTATTAGATAGAAATAAAGTAATTTATAAAAAAAACGGTGTATACGTACTGATTAATACTTTATGAAATATAATTATTACCTATTCATCTTCTAAATTTATTACGATTGAAATAAAAATAAAAAATTTAAAGATAATTAATAATTATATATTACAAATGCATAACACTAAAGATTTTTTGTTTTATATCAAATTGTTTTATAGTTTTATTAAAACTTTTTATTATGTGGTAAATTCTAATTCTAATATACAGTTTAATGAAATATGTTTTTTCGGACTTCTCACAACATTCATAGTTGAAATTATTTTTTAAGTGTTCATATAAATTTTTTTCTGTACAAATATCATCAAAAAGTTTAATAAAAGTATTTTCTAAATCCTTTAAATTATCCATGAAATTCTTGGATGGTTTATAAAAAACTGAAAAATATTTTTTTTTCACAACTAACTACCTATTTAAATTTTTTTTAATATTATACGTCTTTTTAAAATTTATTTTTATTATATTTCAAAATTATATTATATAAATTATAATAATTTTTTTTAAGCACTTTTCTTCCGCTTTGGAATAAGTTACAAAAATAAAACTCCCGTCTTTAAAATTCTTAATATTTTTTCCTATACTTTATATAGGGGAAAATAAATAACTCCCGCTTTTAAAAATACATTATAAAAAAACAGGTAGACATCTATTGCGTACTCTTTCCCTCACTACTTAACTCTTTTAACTAAAGGAATTTTTTGTATACAAATATTGGTGATGATTGCATTAGTGTGATGTAAACGGAGAGTCGAACTATTTATTAGTAGATATACTTTGGTTAAAACCATTAGTGAACAAATCAGGACTATTTGTCAAAACACTGTTGTTAAAGTTATTCAATTAAAAATGTGAGCGGATATGTTTGACACTTTCGTGCCAGATTTATTGTTTTAATCTAAGATTCATCATTGGAATTATATGCTTTTGAAATATGTATTTAGAAAAAAAATTCGTTCGTTTTCATTATTAGATAATTAGGACATTTTGAAGATAATTATTATTTTTTGAAAAATTTTCAAATTTTTAACCCAAAATTTTTTGTTTGAATTATTAAAAAACGGTCGCCATTTCGTTATATACATAGATTTATAAATATTGACATTACAATAAATCAAGGCCTGGACCTTGTTCTTTTTGTGAGTGTATTTGTAAAACTGCATACGTATTATTGATGAAATGACATTTCTGAAGAATCATTTTTTTGTTCCGCCGTGTCAGACAACATATCTGATAGAATTGAGAGCATTTTTTACTCTAAATACAGTGAATAAAAAAAAATTGGTGCTATATTTTTTTAGTATAGAATACACTACTTAAAATAAAGTTATGAAAGTGCTTTTAAAATTATATAATCATTACAAAAGATGCGTCGTTTTAAGTTGTCCCCTGTATAAAAGCAAACATAATAAAAATATTATAAAGAAACTTGTATAAGTTTTAAAGTATCTGAAGCGGTAGTTTAGGTCAATCAGTGAATTAGTATTTTCACAATGTGAAAATATTTCCTAATTAAAACTAAATCACATACATAACTAAAAAGAATTATGTGGACGTTTAATACAAAAATAATTCACATATGAAATAATGTTTATGAATTATGAAGCATATAAGTATTATAAATACTATAGACATGAAAAATATATACATATGTACATAGATATATATGTGATTACATATATCAGAAATATGCATTTTGGGAGTAATATAATACAAAATTAGCAAACTCGTTAATATCAAATGTACATTTTCTCGAAGTTGAAAAAATACGCCAAAATCCAACTTAACACTTGAAAAATATTGCACAATTTTTTTTCTTGTAGTATAGCATTTACTGAAATCTTCATAAAATGGACAGAACCTGGAAGGTTTTTTTTAAATCAATTTTTTAATGTTTTAATAACACAAAACTTTAAGAATGTAAGCACAAGTAAAGTAGAAAAAGATTGAATTTTAGCTTCTTCTAATTAAAAACTTGAAAAAAGTAGATCCTATATTACATTTTATAAACAGTATTTTTTCAACTCGTTGTGTTTTAACCTTCCAAAATTACCGAGTTCCACCTCCTACCCCATCCCCCAGAAGATCGCATTTGGGCCAGAATCCAACACCCTGTATATACATAAATACTTAAACGTAACCAATAATAACAAATTATTATTTTTATGTTACTTTTTTTTCAAACTACCTAAATAAATAGAAAACAAATTTTAAAAGGCTTTTAAAAAATATTTCAACTTGGCATTTAAAAAAATTTTTTAAACTTTTACGATTATATGTATAACTATATTACGATTATATGTATAAGTTGTAAGTTCGTACAGAATTTTTGAAATTACCAAATGTTGTCTTTAATATTTGATCATAATATTTTATTTTATATAATTACGGAAGTTATAACCATTTAAGTCGATACTCCTTTTTGTCGAAACCAAAGATTTTCAACTACGATTTTGGGACTTGAATGTTCATTATTGACCTCTCAGTAACGATTCCTTTCATAAAATTGTCCCACCATTCTACCTCTAAGGGATTATGTCACTTTTCAGGTTCACCCTGTACATTATATTAATTTATATATACTTAAATTAATATAATATGTACATATTTATTATACATATGTATATAACTACTTTTCAAGTGCAAAAAAGTACGGGTACTTCTAGAAGGGCTAGAGACATGTGACAGAAGGCATTAGATAGGGTTTGGCCTCCAGGGTCCCAGATAAAGCATGGATTCCATCCACACTTCCCCTTCACCACCTCCCAAGATGCTTTGTGACCGCTTCTTACAAAATGGTTCTACATCCTGTAGGGATTATTTTTATTTATTTTTAGTAGTATAAATATTGTATGTAAATTTGGTAGTGTTAGTTATATCAAAAAGTGAACACTTTCTTAAGAAAATTGTAAAGATTCAATAAAATCTACATTGTTTTATAGTAAGTATGTGCGTACGCATTTAGTTAATATTCTTTTAGCGATCTGCTGCAAAATATTATATTAGTCAGCAAAACTTAACTGTACATTAAATTTCTTGACAATATATTTTAAGGACAAAATTTTATAAGAAAATAATATTCTATTGCATTAAACTCTTTACAAATAGGGTATTTTCAAAAAAAATATTTAGAACCGAAACTCGCTGATATTGATTTGTAAGGGCAAAGCTTTTTTAATTTCATTTTGAAAAAATAAAATTGTCAATAAAAAAAAGTTCATCGGGCAAATCGCATTTTTAAGGTTTCGAACCTGGGACTTTTTGCATAGAAATCCTATGCTATACGCATTACCTTATATAGGATTAGTATTAACTAATTATATATATGTACATTCACGCATTTTATTCGCATGTATTATAAAATGAAAATCCAAATACATACATACGTGCATGAATTTTAATAGTGAATTGTTTTATACGTACACAGTAAATTATCGCTTAAAGTGCTTATTATCAGAGGTAATTTACAATTTTATGCGATATAACTCAAAGCTTACTACTTATTTCTATAATTATGTACTTTTTCGTAATTATTTTTAAGAGCATTTCTTATTTTAAGTTTTATCTTAAAAAATATTAGGAAAAAAAACATATCTACGTATGTATATTACGGGTGTGTTTTTGAAGAAAGAAAGTAAACTTAAAATATCTCAGACACAGAATGGAACACAATTTCAGACATAATACTTGCAATGCAAGCACACACGTACAAAATTAAATTAATTAACCTATAAATTTTTACGAAAATCATTTAATTAAATGTAATATTTTAATATGGATGATGAGTGCATATTACACAAAATGTGGTTAATTCACCAAAAAATAATAATTTTCTAGATGTCATTCGGTTGGATTCCAAAAATCTTTTTGAATTTGAAAATTATCATTTAATCTTTTTTGCTGCCTTCACCGGGTTTTTTATCCTTTTTGTCCTTATTTAAAGATCCAACTGCATCACGTATTGTTTCAGATTGTGGATCTACGCCTGGAAGATTTTCTAAAACACTTTGCAGAAAGGCCGGGTCTCCAATTACTTCCGAATAGTCTTCGTCTACTTCCATTGGAGCACTTTCTTCTGTTTTTGGTCTTTTTGCTTGATGAGTAACGGATTCTTCTACGAAATATTAGTACTAAGTTAAGTTTTCTTTAAAAAATTGAAAAATTTTACGTGCATCTTGCATAGACATTTGCATAGCAAACGCAATTTGCTCTTCCTCAGTCATATTGGCGAAATCTGGCATATTATCTTCAGCCTAAAATATTTCGAATTTCTTGAAAAATATTTTACCTAAATGAAAGTTACTTGTATCCTTACGGGGGTTTCAGTCGACAAAGCTAGCGCCCTTTGTAGCATAGCTTCTTCAGAGTTAGGTTCAGCAGGTTCTGCATTTTCTTGGGCATTTTCCACGATATTTTCCACTGCAGTTCCATTAGCATTAGAAGCAGCAAGAGCACGTCGTTGTTCCTCTTCTTGTCGATGCCGCTGTTCTTCCATTGACACACGCAAGGCTAGAGCTAACTCTGGGTCTTCGTTTGGATCGACTCCAAACTCAAAACCAGCTCCACTTAATCCAGCCCCACCCAAACCATCTTCTCCTTGGATTATTGGAGAAGATAAAAGGGCGTCTGATAGAACAGAACCGCGTGGAACGCTGACCAAATGAGAACCCGTTCCATCTTTACCATTTAAAGCATTGATGAAAGCATTTAATACATCATTATTTTTTTCATGATCCCCAAAACATACAATATCAACATTAACTTTTTCTTTTTTTAAACGTTTTGCTAGCTTCACTAAATCAGCTTCTTCGTTAATTACTGGAGATCCCACAAAAACTACAATTCGCATCTTATGATTTTTCCCTTGTCGATGTTTAAGAACGAGCTGAAAAATTCAAGCTTTAAAAATTTTCTTAAAATATAATTTATATAAAATTTTAATTACATGAGCAATCCTAATACCAGTCAATAAATTAATTTCACCTTTTGGTTGAACTAGGTGCATTTTTGAGAAAACTCTTCCAACATCACTAGTAAGAGTTGCTAACACTTCCACCGTACTGAAATTGAAATTATTAAATTTGTAATGCAATTATTAAATTTGTAATATGTATCTAATTGTAAATCATACTTCGCTAACGTTAGAAGGCCAACATTATTTTCAGGATTTGAACGAACTTTTGTCAGACAAACTAAATTTATTCCATCTTTTTGCGCATTTAATCGTGTTGGAAAGTAGTCTCCATTTCTTTGATAATCGCTATTGTCGAAACTTCAAAAAAAACATTTTGTTTAGAATCTGCTAGTCATGTCAGAGTTTATTAAGGCGAGACCTTGTACATAAGTACATATGCAAGTATAGCTTTCGACTTATTTATGCATACATAATTTATTTGGTTATTAGTTGTCTATTTTAATAAATAAGTAGAACATTACTTACCATATCATCGTGCTTTCCAAAACCATTTTACTTAATTTTATTTTTTTCTAAATCAAGAACAATTTTATTATTTCAGCTAGCTAATTCCTGCTTGTCATTTGTATTGACTTTAACTACTTGTCATTTTTCAGAGGTACCAATTTATTTTGTAGCGGCAATTTCAATAGCAAAATCTTCAATAGCTTTGTAAAAAAAATAGCAAACAGATGTCGTAAGGAAATAGATTTAGAGTCGCCTTCACTTCATCCTGATGCGCCTAAAGCAAAATGCATGAAAATTGTACAATTTGCATTGCAAAAATACTTCTCACGGCACTAATGTACACATTCCAAAAGTAACGAATTCCTTCAAAAATAAGGCCATTCCCTCAGATGACTATCTCAGTTTCTGAACAGCATATCAAAAATTCAAATTTCTACTCAAAATTTTAACTACATATTCTTAATTTTGATTGAATAATATTTTCGAGCTTTTTTCGCATTTTTTGTATCGCCGTGTCAGACAACATATCTGATAGAATTGAGAGCATTTTTTACTCTAAATACAGTGAATAAAAATAGAATTTGCTGCTATATTTTTTTTTTAGTATAGAATACACGACTTAAAATAATTTAAGTCGTGTAATAAGTGCTTTTAAAATTATATAATCATTACAAAAGATGCGTCGTTTTAAGTTGTCCCCTGTATAAAAGCAAACATAATAAAAATATTATAAAGAAACTTGTATAAGTTTTAAAGTATCTGAAGCGGTAGTTTAGGTCAATCAGTGAATTAGTATTTTCACAATGTGAAAATATTTCCTAATAAAACTAAATCACATACATAACTAAAAAGAATTATGTGGACGTTTAATATAAAAATAATTCACATATGAAATAATGTTTATGAATTATGAAGCATATAAGTATTATAAATATAGTATACACATGAAAAATATATAGATATATATGTGATTATATCAGAAATATGCATTTTGGGAGTAATATAACACAAAATTAGCAAACTCGTTAATATCAAATGTACATTTTCTACAATTTGAAAAAATACATCAAAATCAACTAAATACTTTGGAAAAAATTGCACTATTTTTTTCCCTATAATGTAGCATTTATTGAAATCTTTAAAAGAGCCTGAAAGGTTTATTTTTAAATCAATTTTTTAATGTTTTAATAACACAAAACTTTAAGAATGTAAGCACTAGTAAAGTAAAAAAAGATTAAATTTTAACTTCTAATTAAAAATTTGAAAAAATTTATCTTGTGGGACATTTATGATGTTAAAAAGGACCCTCTATAAATCCCATAAGAAAACGTGTAAACTCGTCAGCTGTGAATTGTTACTCTCTCTTAGGATCCGGGCCTGTATTTCTGTCAGCCGCGGTCGTGGCCTAACTGTCTAACCACACTTTTAAAATGATTAATTTTAAACCACCAAGCAACTTTTGTCTAAGTGTTCTGTCAGTTTTAAAATAATTTTTAAAATGGTAAATCAAAATACCTATAATATTAATTATTAAAAATAAAAATTTTAGGATATATTATCAAGGCCAGCTGAAGAATTTGTTAATCAAAGTATCGTTGAAGAAATGTGGGCGACCAAGGCAATGGAACATGCGGAAATTTACTTTAATGTAAATAAACGAAATTCAAAATCATATACATACATACATACATACATACATACATTATGTATTTTATGCTGTAAAATGTTTTTTGTTTTGCAGCTGATATGCAGCGTAGACCCTAGAACTTTAAGACTTTGTCCTTACGATGATACTGTTTATACCACATTTAGACAGGACTTTCCAAATTTAAAAATTGGAAAAATAAGTGATGATGATTTAAAATCAGAAGAGTCTAAAGTGAAATGGAGAATTTTTATTGAAAAATTCAACAAGATGCAAAATTTTTCTTATGGTACGTTATTAAGATGCGATGCTTCAAAGGAATTTTCTTCTGATAATTCAATTTTGGTTGTAAGGATACAATTTTTAGCCATCGAAATTGCTAGAAATCGTGAAGGATATAACGATATCATTAGAGAAAAATTTAAACCTGAAATAAAACTCAGAAATGAAACGTAATATATACTGAAATGTTTTATTAAATTATAAAAAAATGTACGTATATTTTGAGTTGATTTATTGATTGTAAATTAGGAGTTGTAAATTTAACGTGAGAGATAGCATTTTATTTTATGAAGAAGTATGTATATGTTATACACTTGTAAGAAAACATGTGTGTCTACGCGTGTATGTAGGTACAATTACCCTTATTATGATCGGCGAAGCCAATGGCTAGGCGAGTGCAATGGACTCGGCGAATCGAATGATATTTTAAATTTCATTCGCCAGATCTAAAATGTTGCTACTGCAAAATATCAGAAAACCTACCGAAAATAATAAGGCTAACACCACACATATGTAAGTACATTATTTTTGCTTTTTTGCAAAAACATGCATTTTTCTATCCTTTGGCAACGACGAGGTTGTCCATTAATTTATTTAAATGCACGAATTGTTTTTAGATAGTTTTTTTCGTACTTAAATTATTATTAGACAATCAACATTATTATAATTAATTACAATCAAGATTATAATATTAAAATAGTTTAGATCAACATAAATGCTATATCAAATAAAAAAAAACGAATGTATTTTTTTAATGATTGTTTTCATTCGCCAAGCTTGTCGCACGGCACTTTCATTCGCAAGGTATATCCTGAAATTTAAGCGAATTCTGTAATCATAATACCAAAAACCCCGTTCGCTTCCCCGATCATAATAAGCACCCACATTACGAAAATTTATTGGGAACTTCATAAAAAATTGTATGACGCTATTACTCTTGCTGAACCCATATAAAAAATGCATTGCATACGTGTTTTCACCAGAACATGAATTTCACATAGAATTCAAAGATCAGTCTGATAGGTGCATAGATTAAATTAGATCAAAGATCTAAGTAGGTCAAAGTTCCCCAACACCCTTATAATGAAACTGTCACCGTTTAATGTCAATAATAAATTTTGTATACTTTTGTAATGGTTCAAATTTAAAATTTTCTTATAACCAGAAAATTTGCAAAGGTTCCGCAACATTATTTGTTTCGAATTACATACACATATGTATATCATATTCAATAAACAAGGTTACTTTTTAATATTCGTCTATATAAAAATTAAAGTCTAAAATTACTTTTCCAATTATTTTAATTTCTTTTTAAAATTATTATCAATGCAGATATCTAGTTTACGCTGTTTCCATTGGCTGAGCAGCTGTGGCCGTTTCTTCAGTATATTTACCTTTGTCTTTTCCTAGAGCTGCGAGACGTCCTTTTCCTCTTCGATCTAAGATCTTTTTACGATCCTTATCCAACTTCAACTTAACAATTAAACATTTTGATGGATGTATTCCAACATAAACATTGGTACCATTGGCATTCTCACGTTGAATTTTTTCTATGTAAACTACAAATTTTTTACGGTAACACTGCACTACTTTACCAACTTGATTTCCTTTAAAGTGACCACGAACTACTTGAACTTCATCATCCTTACGAATCGGCATTGACCGTACATTGTATTTTTGTCTGAGTTCCTTAGATAAAGGTGCTGACATTAACCTTCGTCGAATATGTGACGGAGCTGTGAAATGTCGTTTACGATTTTTCCTGCGTGAGGAAGTAACAAGTTTATTGAATTTCATGTTTTGTTGTTTAACTAAAAAGAAATATGAACATCAACAAATGTATTTAAGTTTTCCCTTTTTCTTTTATGTTAATTAAAATCAGTACTCTATTATCAAACTAATATATTACAACAATTTCAAAATCACCACATCTCGAATTTTTTTTAAAAAATATTCATGATATCTTTTTATAGCGTTTTTTGCAGATGTAAAGAGATTTTCTAGGAGCAAAAACTTACATCAACAACTTTTTATGAAAACAACCAAAAGAAGAAATTGACACACGGATATACTAAAATCAAGTAAAAATTGACGTTTCCTGAAAAATGCTTTACGGTGACCATTGCACATTTCAAAACCCATTAAAGCGGGACTTGTTGTCTAATCCTATATATGCGTTCCATTTACCTTTTGGAACCATTCATGAATAGCTAAACTGAGCACAACTAAACTAACTAACACAAATGCGTGGAGAACCTGTGCAGTTACGTTATTTTTCAGTTTGAAATAGTATTTTTAATTTACAACAGATGGATCATGTGTTTTCGGAATTATGTGTTCTCGAAATTAACATTTGAATAATAAAAAAACTGTAAGAAAAGAAATTGTTGTTCCTAAAATACTAGTACATATATAAAAAAAATCATTCCATTTATAAACTATGCATTGGCTGTAGCACGTGTATATCAGCCACAGCTGACAGAAATACAGGCCTGGACCCTAAGAGAGAGTGACAGTTCACTCTTTCTCACAAGATCAAATGCATGACTAAGCATTGTCAAATTTAAATTGACAGTTAAGCTCAGTGTTCTACGAAACTATCAGCAGAAAACTGATTCTATAGTTTAGTATTGATATAGTTAAGTATTGCTTTTTTTAATTCTTCTCTTACTTTTTCATTGTTTATGTGCTTCTTTCTTGTAGTTCAAGAAAAGGGTATAATCAGAAAATAATCAAAAATATGAATCGACACAGCCTTGATGCAAAATAAAGTTATAAATGCCATGCCGATGTGATGTGAAATTCTTGTACACTTTCTAAACTATATATTTTTTGACGTTTATTTTGAAAAGGTTTTGTGTAAAAGCAAACACGCATACATATATGTTGTTATATTTGGACACCATACTTTATAAGTATTGTATACTGATATATTTTCGTACATGATTTTTAAGTTTTAAATCGATGCTGCACCGATTGCTTTCCGAATATACCTTATATATATGTACTATGTGTGTTCTTTATTTTAATTTTTGTAAAATATTTGAGCTAAACATATGTATGTAAATAAATCAAAAATTGAAAATAGAAAAAAGTTGTATTTATTTTAATAATTGTAATAAATATTTGTTCATTAGTGTTAAGTTTAACTTTCCTAAATGGAAGGAAAAGTTGTTTTCGTTTTGTTTTATACTAAAATAAAACAGAAACTTCAATGTAAAAACTTCGCATGCAATATAGAATAAACGGCAATATACTTCGGATGACCCAATTTTGCCAGGAATACACATACTTGCGATACATGAACATGCGATAAATTGGTTGTCAAACTTCTTCGAAAACATTTTGAGCCAAATGCGAACGCGTCGTAATCTAATTGGTCCATATACTTAACGAACAAGAGCGACTTGTGTAAAGATTTAGAAAAAAAACACTAGTTTTGGATTTTTTTTCGATCGTCAATCGCTTTATTGTTACAAAATGAAGTGATTTTTATTAATTTTACAAAATACAAAAATATTCTTAAGATTACAAAAGTATATTAAAAAAAATTTCTTTTCTTAATTTGGGACAATTACAAGTTTATCATGTCAGCATCGAGGCAGCTCGACTGGTGAAAAATAAATAGAAAAAAACCATTTCGAAACTGAAACTAATATCACTGATTTTAGAAGATGTACATAATCGATTCCAGCAAAAAAAATTTCCCTTTATTTGTGGTTTACGCCACCCTGCTTCTGAGACCCTCAGTTAATGGTTAGTCGTTTCCGACTAGTTTTATAATTTATTTTGAGGAGGTTGTTCTTTAGTGGATTGAAGTTCCACATTACTGCTTTTCGTTTGGCAGTATCTTTCGACATTTTGCACCCTTCCTCCGGGTAAAAAAAAAAAACAAAAAAACAAAAAAAGATAATTTGCTTTCAAATTTGAGAAGATGGTTTTCGTCCTTAAGGACCACGTCTCGCAACCGTATGTCTTTCTCGACAGTAGACTTGAGCTCTTTAGTTTTTTGTGTGCATCTGTTATTCGCCCGAATTTTCCTTCTATGCAATATCATAATAGTGTCATTGCACAATAGAACACCAAGATTTTTAAATTTTCCTGCTCCCTGAATATCCAATTCGTCAATTTTTTCGGCAACTCAGGTTGCCGTCGTCGGTCGTTTCTGGAAAATTTAAGATATTTCGTCTTCGTTCCATTTATATGGGTACCAACCTCTATTACTTCTGTTTTCAGTTCTTTAAAGATCGGCGCCATTGTGTTGTAGTTTTTGCCAATGACCCCTAAATCTTATGAGAGCCAACAAAAATATTGCCTCCTTTGTCTTAATTGCTTAATGTAAGACCGTATTAAAGATTAGAGCAGAAAATCCATCTCCTTGTTGTACCGCACTACTTATTTGGAATGATTCGAATATTGCACCTTGTATCAAAATTTTGCACGTAAAATACTTCATTGACATGTTTATTAAATTTATCAATTTTTTTGGCACGCCTAAGAATGTCAGGCCAATTGAGATTTTCGTCCTGCCAATACTATTAAAAGCTTGTTTAAGATCAATAAATATAATACGTAGCTTAACATTGCGCTCATAGCTTTTGCCCATAATTTGTTTCATTAGGAAAATTTGATCAATTGTAGATCTTTGGCACCTGAATTCACACTGATACTCGCCTACCTGTCAAAAAATGGCTTTATCCGATCATATACATATATACCTATTATAATTGACAAAACTTTATAACAGCAGTTTAGTAGTGTTATTACAGGGGGGTTCTGGCACTCTAATTCGTAATACTTGTTTTAAGATCACTTCGTTAATATATACACATTTTATCATAATATGTGTAGACACTCACACATAGATATTTGTTTTTTATGAACAAAATAAATTACTTGCAAATAGAAAAGATTTAATAAATCTAAAATTTTTTGATAGCTAAAAGTAGCTAACAAAAATTAATAAAGTTGGTTAAAATAATGGTTTGTAAAATACCCATTTTCCAAGTGAGAATACTGCTTTAAAAAAAAAGAGATGCGTTAACAAATGCTCGAATTCAAGAGTTAATTGAATCAGTTAAGAAAAATAATTATATTTTTTGGTGGCACGGCATTTATTTTTTGAAAAAATTTCAAAAAGCTTGCAGTTTCGGAAATATATGAAAGCGACTTTTACATATTTCGAAAAGCTTCCGAAAGGTGGAAATGAAAAAAATTTTTTATTAGTATTTAAAAAGCTATAAAAGCTTCAGACTTCTACAACCTATTTTATAGAAGGCATTTTAAAGAAGGCGATATCAAAAATTTGAAAAAAAAGGGTTTTAGGTAACGGTTAATTTTAGCAGCCACACCTTTTTAATATTCCGTTATGCTTTGCCGCTGTAAAAAAAAGCCTATCGCAACTTTTTTGCGTTTTAATATTAAATAAACATGTTTGTGGTTTGCCTGTCTTTGAGAGGTTATAACTTTTAGCGGAATATCCCCTTTCCTAAATTTTTTTCTATGGAAATAAGTTTCGAGTAAAGAAGCGTTTGTATATAATGAAATTTCAGATTTCTTCGTCTTCAAAGGATTAGAAATTTTGCAAATGGGCCCATGCACTGATGGGCGGACAGAGCGAAACCATAAGCGCTTATATTCAAAATTTTAAAAGAGTCCTAAAAAACTGAAGTGAAAATAAATGAAAGACGAAATAATCAACGTCTTAGCATCAAATTCATCAACATCATTTTTAAAGTATTGAAATTTTTTTTAAAATTCTTAAAATATTAAAATTTCTGTTTTTTTACATTATTTTCTTATTATTTTTATGTTTATTTTACGCCCAGTTTTGAAATTGTGCTCTATTCTATGTGTGAGATATTTTAAGTTTATTTCTTTTATTCAAATACCCATTATATATATATATATAGATATGTTTTTTTCTAATAAATAATAAGATAAAACTCAAAATAAGAAAAGTTCTTAAAAATAATTACAAAAAAATGCATAATTAAACAATTAATTAGTTCCTTTGAGATCTAATATCTTTTAGTAATTTATTTTAGAACCTCGCTTTGAGTTATGTCGCATAAAATCGTAAAATACCTTTGACAATAAGCACTTTAATTACTGTATATGCATGAAATAACTTGCTATTAAAATTCATGCACGTATGTATTTGGAGTTTATAATACACGCGAATAAAACGCGTGAATGTATAATTAGTTAATAGTATTGCTATATAGGGTAATACGTTTAGCATACGATTTCTATGCAAAAAGTCTCAAGTTCGAACCCTGAAAAATGCGATTTGCCAGATGAACTTTTTTATTGATAATTTTATTTTTTTAAAATGAAATTAAAAAAGCTTTATCCTTACAAATCATTATCAGCGAGTTTCGGTTCTAAATATTTTTTTTGAAAATACCCTATTTGTAAAGAGTTTAATGCAATAGAATATTATTTTCTTATAAAATTTTGTCCTTAAAATATATTGTCAAGAAATTTAATGTACAGTTATGTTTTGCTGACTAATATATTTTGAAGCAGATCGCGAAAAGAATACATAACTAAATGCGTATAACAATGTAAATTTTATTAAATCTTTACAATTTTCTTAAGAAAGTGTTCACTTTTTGAAATAACTCACACTTCCAAATATGAATTTACATTAATATCATATTAATATCATTAAAAGACATAAAAATTACCCCTACAGGATGTAGTACCATTTTGTAAAAAGCGGTCACAAAGCATCTTGGGAGGTGGTGAAGGGGGAGCGTGGATGGAATCAATGCTTTTTCTGGGACCCTGGAGGCAAAACCCTATCTAATGCCTTTAGTCCCATGTCTCTAGCCCTTCTAGAAGTACCCGTACTTTTTGCCACCTGATAAGTACCTATATATATATAACTAACCGTGTGTGCTTGCATTGCAAGCCTTGCAAGTATTATGCCTGTAGTTTTGAAATTGTGTTCCATTCTGTGTGTGATGTATTTTGAGTTTACTTTTTTCTTCTTCAAAAACACACCCGTAATATACATATAAATATGTTTTTTTCCTAATATTTTATAAGATAAAACTTAAAATAAGGAAAGCTCTTAAAACTAATTACGAAAAAGTATATTATGATTCCTTTGAGATATCTTTTAAGTAATTTATTTCAGAACCTCGCTTTGAGTTAT